CACGAGGCTAAGTAGGTTAAGGATTAAAGGAGTATATGAGAAAAGCAGTTTTCTTGTTTCACTTCTGTCATTTAAAAAGAAAATAATGCTTAGGAAGGTGGGATGGAATTTCCTTGCAGAAACCACAGGATTGGGTTGCAATGTAATTGAGTGTCATGGAAAACAAAGATGATACACTTTAGTAGGTGCTTTCTGGGTCCAACCCTTTAAAGGCTTCCTCTCAGGGATGCTAGAGCTTCCCAAGGCCTTCCTCAGGCTGTGAGGCTACACCCATTAAGTATTTTTTTCCGTCTCCTCCTTTAACACCTTGCAGAAAAGAATGTTCTAAACACAAAACAACGTGTACATATGGCAATTAAAAATGAATTAAAAAGATTGTACATATGAGAAAACAGACCATATTGTTTATGTTTGTCATCTCTATTTTCAACTTGCTTTTTTTCCGTCTGCCTTTGAGCACATCACAAAGCTTTTGGGAAGCTGCCTCTCCATTCATATTTTAGGCTGTTTCTCAGAGCAACTTCATAACTACTATTTTCATATTTTATAACATTGAGGGGGCAGTTGCAGTAAATATTAATTACTTCATATAATACGGAGCTGTAATGTCTTCTAAGTAAACATCTGGGTCACAGCTAGATTATAAAACTAGTTAAATCATTTGAAAGGGTACTTTTCTTAATATTTAAAGTTATTACTCTATTTGCTTTCATTTTAATTACCAAATTCTTTCTTTCCTTTTTTTAAAGCAAAGACATTTGTTCCTTCTGTCTTTCTGTATTTGCAAGTCTGTGAAATCTCTATCAAGCTGAAACTCACACAGCTCTGAAAACTGGACTGCATTCACATGGGACCTGGTTTGCTTCTTGATCTTTGCAGTTTATGAACCCTCATCCCAGGCACTGTTTTTCTTTAGTCAATAGGTTTTTTTTTGTGCCCAAAAGTCTCATAGGGACACATATGGAAACAAAAACACAGCACCCAGGGTTTGGAGAACATCATCCTCACACCATTATGCTTTTGTTTTATGACCATCCTTGTTCTCTGCAAACAGCATGTTTTTAAAAGGCAAGAGGCCGAAGCAAAGGAACAAAAGAAGAGAAGTGGTAAGGGAGAAAGGAGATAAAAGTGGCCATGATCAAAGAAGAAAGTAGGAAGAGGAAGAAGGCAGCTGAGGCTAAAATTTAGCAGAAGATCCCATGGTCTCATATTTTTAGCACTTTCCGGTTTTGATTCTATTTGCATTATTTGTTGGGTTTAGTATAGAAAATCTTAGCATTTTCAGGGTTAGCCTGGAAGGAGGGAGGCTTGGACGGAGCAGATACAGGCCACATGGAGTTTAGTCTTCTCTCATCCACAGCCAAGAGGGAGTTGGACAAGGATTATTTTACTCATGACTTTTGTGGGCAACTAACAAAAATGTACTTGAAATAACTTCACCAAAAATGGGAAATTCACTAGAATCACTATTAAGACATCTCACAGAACCCAAGGCAGGAAGGCTGCTGATCATCTACAGGGATGGAACCAGAAATTAAGCACGGTGGGGTTAGTTTCTCTTAGCTTCACTCCATCTTGTCACTGAACCTCTCTCTCTCTCTCTCTCCCCCCAGAATCTTGCTTAACAGGTGCATGCCACCACACCCTGCTAATTTTTTTTTTTTAATTTTTTTTGTAGAGACAGGGTCTTGCCATGTTGCCCAGGCTGGTCTCAAACTCCTGGGCCGAAGTGATCTTCCCACCTCAGCCTCCCAAAGTTCTGGGATTACAGACGTGCGCCACTGCGCCTGGTCTGCACATCTTCTCTTGATTGGTCTCCCTGTCTGTAGACTAGCTTTCTCTTTTTCTCTGTGCGTTGGACTCCTCTCCACACACTCTCAGTTCCGGGGTCCTTGGAAAACTGACTGGCATCTCAACACCCAAACCCCAAATGCTCAGGATAGAAAAGCTTTTGGGCTCACGCCAACAAATGCCAACAAGTGAAGGCACTGTCCTCTAGATCAGGCGCCCCCTCTTATCCAATCAGTGGAAGAGGTGAGGTCACATGATACAAACATTACTTTAGGGACCCACATCTGTGTAAGTGGACTAGTTCTCAGAGAAGGAAAGTCCGGTGAGGTGGAATTCCCCAAAGCTATTCACTACATTCCAGTGCCTTTATTGCCATTTATTTGTTTCCACTCTAAGGAGAACTAAAGAAGGGAGAGGGGAAGGGAGAAAGTCTTGGTTTGTCCATTGAAAGGAGTCAACATTCACAAGTATTTATTGAATGAAACAGAAAGGTGGCAATGTAGAAAAGAAAAAGCAGAGGGGAATAAGCATGAATGAAAGTACAGTATTTGATTTCACAGTCATTTTCTTCCAATGGTCCTTTTAAATTAGTCCTACTCTCATTGGGAAATGATTCCAAAGTGATCACTGTATTTATACAGCTATACCCATACTCAACAGTAGACTTCAGGGGAAAGCACATTAAAACTATGCTGAATATCATTCACATTCAGCAGAATGGCAAAAATTAAAAGGACTGACAATTCTAAGTGAGAGTAAGAATGTGGAGAAGCTGGAACTCTCAGACATTGCTTCTGTAGAATGTACAAATTTAAAAAACTGTTTGGTTAAATACAAACCTACCCTCTGATCCAGCAGTTTCACTCCTGGGTATATACCCAAGAAAAATGAGCACATATATCCACCAAAAGACATGTATAAGAATATTTACAGAAACTTTATTTTTAATAACTAAAAATTGTAGGCAACCCAACTGTTCAACCATAGTAGAATGAATAAACTCTAGAATATTCATAATAGAATACTACACATCAACAAAAAAATGAACACCTATATTTAACATTGGTGAGACTCGTAGATATAGTTTGGAGTGACAGAAGAGAAAAACAAAAGAGTATATGCTATAAGAACATATGGCAGGATTCCATCCACGTGACATTCAAGAATTGACAAAAACAAATCTATTCAGGTAGACGTCAGGTTAATGGTTACTTTTGAGGGGTTATTGACTGGCTGGGGGCATGAGGGAATCTCATGAGGTGACAGAAATATTCTATATATTAGCCAGGCATGATGGCTCACATCCATAATCCCAGCACTTTAGGAGGCCAAGTCGTGAGAGGATCACTTGAGGCCAGGAGTTCGAGGTTGCAGCGAACTATGATTACAACACTGCACTCCAGCCTGAGTGACAGAGTGAGACAAAAAAAAAAAAAAAAAGAAATATTCTATTTATTGATCTGAGTGGTTGTTACACAGGGGTAGACTTATGTCAAATTTAATCAAGCTACACACTTAAGAAAATGAGTGCTTTTTACTGTATGTAAGTTATACCTAAATTTGAAAAAATATATACCCATTTGCTCTCTTTACAAAGAAAAATACCTTGGGAGGGTTTCTCCAGAGTTGTAGAGAATGCCATCAGAACCCTTTCTGTTCTTTCCTTGGTGGTACTCAAACATCCTGATCCGATGCCATGGCTTTCTCCTCAACGCTGCTTCTAAATGTTTGAATTTGATAAAACCACGTGAATAAGCAATAGTGGGACTCTTCAGCATTGTCTGCATGATGGACTAAGCACGAAGTGATAGTTCAGTGTTTGGCAACACAGTATGCAGACGGTGGGGCAGATAAAAATATAGCATACTTGGCATATGTTCTACTCTGTGCCTGGGGGACAATTCATGGGCAGAGAAACGGATATCCATTGGCATGTGTTAGTTAGCTCAGAGCCTGTCCTGGCTAGAAATACTGGCCTCCTCTACATTTTCTTCCCGGTTTTGACAGAAGAATGCTTTGTGTGAGGAGGTAGTCAAGAGGTCCTGGAGGCCAATGCGGGGGCTGTTCCTCATCTTCAGTGCCTTTCTTTAAGGAGACAAGTTCATAGCGTCCTTTGTGGTACAATAGCTAAGCACACTGAGAGGTCCATAACCCCTCCTCACATTGACTCTATGCTGAGGCCTTCCTCAGCACCATGCCATGTCTGGGACAGGCATTTAATGAGTTTCCAGGCCCTGGCAAGATTTGGTCTTTCTTTGTGAACCTCATGGTGGGCCCTTTTAATTAATCTCCAAAGTATCTGGATCCTGTTTCTTTACACAGGTTAAATAACTAAGCTTCTTGAGCCCCTCTATCTAAGCTCCATGAGAATGAAAGCATGAACTACTTTCTGAGCGATTTGCCTCAATTCCATAATATCTTCCTTATATGAGTTGACAAGGTGCCGTGCCCCATTCCCAGGAGTGGATGTCACCGGAGAGTAGGGGATCATTTTAATTGCTGAAATGGGAACAGCACATTGTGGAGTCGAGCAGAAGCTTGTGTGAAATCTCTTTGAGAGGACTGAAAGGTTTTCTTCTATTTTGGATGGCTTTGTTTTTGCCACTCCTTGCATCCTTCCCTGCCTTCTCTTTCATTTCCTTTGTGTCCTTTCTCTGCGCTGTCCTATTCTCTCATCTAACTGCCAGAATTAGTCTCTCCCATCAGTTGTATTTCCAAATACCCTTTCCTGTGGCATCACTTTTTTTTTCTGTAGGAGAGCTAGAACAGACCACCCCACACTATGCACCTCTTTTATTCCCTCTCCTCTTCTAACCTGACTCCGTTTTATAATTTGACTCAACAGAATATGGAAGATATTGAGAACTATTTACACAGACACCTTCATTTATTTAAATGAAGGCAGGTTTTGCTACAAATATAGAATGCTTTTCATTTTAACTAAAATACACCACCAAGATTGATTAAATGAGCTTCTCTGTCTAACTTCTAGCTTGCTTAAGGAGATTTGTTGTTGTTGCTTGTTTTGAAACAGGGTCTTGCTCTGTTAGCGCAGGCTGAAGTGCAGTGGCGTGATCATGGCTCACTGCAGTTTCAACCTCTGGGGCTCAAGTGTCCTCCTACCTCAGTCTCCTGAGTAGTTGGGATCAGAGGTGTGTGCCATCACAACCAGCTAATGTTTTTTGTTCTCTGTAGATACAGGGATCTCACTATATTGCCCAGGCTGGTTTCAAACTTCTGGCCTGAAGTAATCCTTCCACTTCAGCCTCCCATGGTGCTGGAATTATAGGCATGAGCCACCATATCTGGCCTGTAATTCCTTATGACTTTGACTTGTAAAAAATTTTGTAAACACATTTAATTTCACACGAATACAAAAGCATGATGAGCTCCCATGTGCCTGTCATCCACCTTTCACAATTATCTACAATTTGTCAATCGTTTCATTTATCCACTATGCATACTTTTCTTTCCTTCGATGTTTTAAAGCAGATTTCAGATAGCATTGCATTGTTTATACTTCATTGTATTCACTGACCTTTAATATTCCTAGGGAAACACAAAGATAGAAGGTATGAGAAAAATCTTCAAAACTTTTCGTAAAGCTGTTTGTTCATTTTCATTGGTAAATTCATTTGGAAATGTAAACAGCCAATATATTTATAGCATAGAAAGTTCAATTGTGTTACATATTATTCCAGAGCCTCAGAAACAGGAATTCGTGACAAAAGGCATATATTTTTCAACTAGCATTTATGCTTAAGTGTTTCCTAGATATATCCATTTACCACAGGGTTCCTACCCTTCTTGGGATCCATGGACTGGAACCAAAACATGACACTTCAAGTAATAAGTGAGAGGGGAGATGGCCATCACTTATTGTACTTTGTGGTTTACAACCAGTAGGGCAACATATTTAGAAGTCTAAAGTGTCTTAGTTTTCAAAGTGTTAAGCTCACTTAGTGCCAAATGGTTATTTGATGTTACAACATGCAAACAAACCAGAGACAATGGAAGTCACCATGCATCAGTAGGTCAGAACCAAAGAACAGAGATGGTAGCTTTTCTTTTCTTTTCTTTTCTTTTTTTGAGACAGAGTCTTTCTCTGTCACCCAGACTGGAGTGCAGTGGCGCGATCTCAGCTCACTGCAACCTCACTTCCCAGGTTCAAGTGATTCTCGTGCCTCAGCCTCCTGAGTAGCTGGGATTACAGACGTACACCACCACACCCTGCTAATTTTTGTATTTTTAGTAGAGATGGGGTTTCACCATGTTGGCCAGGCTGGTCTTGAACTCCCAGACTCAGGTGATCCACCCACCTCAGTCTCCCAAAGTGCTGGGATTACAGGCGTGAGCCACCGCGCCCAGCCAGATGATAGCTCTTCTATTGGGTGTTACTGTTCTTAAGTTATTCTGTGTTTTTCCTCCTAATTGAGGTGAACTGTTTATTAAGCTTATCTGTGGTCTCTTACTGAAAGCCTTGTTAAACTTAGATTCTTAGTTTTATGAAGGCAGCCAAACAGGTCTCAAAGATTTCTACTGTAAAAATGTTTTGCTCTATGTAAATTCTTGCATCCTGAAGTGACTTTGTTAGCCTGAAGCTAGAAAGTTGGCCTGTAGTTTACCTCATATTGTAGATCTTCTTTTGAGGGCAGGGATAGTAGAGAATGGACGATCATAAGTCTTAGGTCAATTGTGGAGAGTTGAGGGTTCAGCTTTGAATTCATGACTGTGCCAGCTCCCAATATTTCTATATGGGAAGAGAATGAGAGATGAAACACTGAGGATTTGTCTTGCAGTTGCCTAGCACTTTATGTAAAATGTAGAAAATGTCAACTGTCCATATCAAAGACAAGGGGCATTGATGGATTAAGGGGTGTCCAAAGGCTCTTCCATTGCTTCATGTCTATCCCTGGTAGAATCCCATAGTCTCTTCTACGCTTCTGGGTTTCCTTCCTTCCTTCCTCCCTCCCTCTGTCCCTCCCTCCCTCCCTCCCTCCCTCCCTCCCTTCCTTCTTTCCTTCTTTCCTTCCTTCCTTTCTTTCTTTCTCTTTCTCTTTTTTTCCTCCTCTCTCTCTGTTTTTTTTTGGACAGTGTCTCGCTCTGTCACCCAGGCTGGAGTGCAGTGGCACGATTTTGGCTCACTCCAATCTCTGCTTCCCAGCTTTAAATGACTCCCAAGTAGCTGGAATTACGAGTGTGCACCAACATGCCTGGCTAATTTTTGTATATTTTGTAGAGAGGAAGTTTCACCATGTGGTCCAGGATGGTCTCAAACTCCTGGGCTCAAGTGATCCATCCAACTCGGCCTCCCAAAGTGCTGGGGTTACAGGCATGAGCCATTGTGCCCAGCCAACCCTGGAGTTTTCATAGCAAACTTTCGCTTAGTTTATTTTCTTGTGAAGTCTTAGGTGAACTTTGCCTATGAATGAACTCCTAGAAAGCTAGAAAGCCATTATTATTACTATTGTATTTATAGTAACCATTATTATTACTACTGTATTTATATTCTACCCATTTCCAATAATTGTAGGCAGCCAAGAGTACACAGTTGTCCTCAACTTTTAAAATAATGATGCTCTTGACAGTGAATTTTAATGTGTGTGTACAGGTGAAATTGATAGAGCTGATTCTGGACCACACCATGCTCATAAGTTTATTTTCTTTGATTAGAGGCCTTTGAAACTATCAGAAGGGTCTATCTTCCTGGCTATCCTTCTTGGCAGATTCTCTGAGAGGAAGATCCTCATCCAAAAGCAGGGGTTTTCACCTGGGGATGGGGGGATGGACTTTGAGAGGAGCTGTGGATCTCCTGCAAATGTAGGCAGTTTACTGAGGAAGGAATTTTTCTGGAGAACCCACATTTTTCGTTAGATTCTCAAATGATTCCTCCCCTCAGAAAGGTTCACTATCAAGATTTCTAGGCAGATTTGGGGAAAATTCAGAAGAACTGGTCCTTCTCAGCCTTCAGTGCGAGTCTTCACTACTCAGTTGTCATTGCCCTGGTGACCTTGGGCAGCCTGAGAGGTGAGTACCCTGTGTTTAGACCCATTTGTCTATGCTTTCTATCTGTTGCTACAGCGACAGGAGTCATAAAAAGACCTTCTTGCAAACATTGTCGAAAGGACACATATCAGCCAGAGAAGCTGGGATGATTTTTCTCCCAAGGACTTGTCTAAAACTCAAGAAATGGTGAGCCCTCTTTAGCAGGCACTGCACATGAATTTAGTAACAGAATATCTACTTGATGTAGGTGAACTGCAAAAGGTTAATTCACTTTATCCCTTTTATGATCTGTGGATATCTAACACATTTAGTTATTTTTGGAACCACCTGTCATTTTCTATAAATGTTGAATTCTCTTTTACCAAATACAGGCATGGTGTGTATGTCAGTAATGTCCTTGACCTACTTGGGCAGATAATGGCATTTGAAAAATTATCCATAATAATGTTCACCTCCATAGATATAAGTAATCAAGATGTAAGAATCATTAAGGATGACAGGCTTTTAATTATAGGAAAGGCCTTTATAGGAAAAGTTGAAATACAGGCATACACTATTAGAACCATAACACGACTGCATAATTTGTCTTTATGCTAGGGATGGTAAAGTCTAGCTTTCGGATTTCCAATTCTGCCTTCATGTGTGTTTTAAAAAATTTGTCTCCTTCATATTTCTTGAGTTCCTATTGTTGTTTAGCTCTGAATATAAAAAGGACACTTGATCACCGTCCCTCCGAGCATCTCTTCAAAATATAATTTCAGAACCTGCAGTTAAAAACCTCTAAATCAGGATTTTCTAAACTGTGGCTCATAAACTTTTAGTCATGACATCATTTAGAGCATTGCAACATGGATGTGTATTTTTAATGAGCTAGAATATAAGAAGATATCAGAGGGCATCATATATAGTAATATAGTAATAAATTAGTATATTAATAAAGAATTATTTTGTGAATTTTTAAATTTAAGTTGTTTATGCCTATGTGTGTTTTGATAGTGATGTGCTGAAAAATGTTTAACAACTGGCTCCCTGAGAGAAGAGATATGTATATATGTAAATATGTGTATACATTTATTATATATTTTACTGATATAAAGCATGTATAGCTAAAATTTATAAATAATAATAAATACATGGCACTCACTGTGCATTTCATATAGCCAATTGATTCTCAAGAAATGCTTTCATTGATTTTTGCCAAACTTTTGCATTCATAGCCAATCTGTGGTTGCAATTCAACTCTACTTTGAGAAAATCAGACTATGAATAAATGCTTGATATCTATCAGATTCAGCAAATAAGTCCCTCACATTATTGATGAATGAGTGTATTCTGGCATAAGTGTTAATTGCTATTTTAATTTACATTAACAAATAAGATGAAAGTGAAACAATGAAGACATTTGGGAACTTCACTAATTTATCAATGACATGGAGAACTGGATAATAGTTTTCAAATATTGGAAGAGTATTTCCTCAATTTTTTGTGCTATTCACATTGTAACAGTTATAGACACTTTTAAAATTTAATCTGCATTATTTTCTTCACTTTCATGAATAGAGGATCAACAAAACAGTAAATCAAGAAATCAAGCCCTGATTTATAGTGTTTGTCAATTTTTTTTTCTTTTTTTTTTGAGACTGAGTCTCACTCTATCACCCAGGCTGGAATACAATGGTACAATCTCGGCTCACTGCAACCTCCGCCTCCCAGGTTCAAATGATTCTCCTGCCTCAGCCTCCCAAGTAGCTGGAATTACAGGCGTGTGCCACCGTGCCCTGCGAATTTTTGTATTTTTAGTAGGGACGGGTTTCACCATGTTGGCCAGGCTAGTCTTGAACTCCTGACCTATCTATCCAGCCCAGCCTCCCAAAGTGCTGGGATTACACGTGTGAGCCACTGTGCCCAGCCTAGCACATCATTATATGGCATTTCTACCACACAGATAGGAGAGAGGTAACTGCAAGAATAGAGATGACAGGAAAATGTCTTACAATAATTAAGAAGTGATGAGTTTTGAGTAATTACTATTTGTTTTTAACATTGTTTAATTTTAACTTTCTATAATTTATTTACAAATTTTATTATATTTTAGAGACAGGGTCTCACTATGTTGTCCAGGCTGGTCTCAAACTCCTGGGCTCAAGCAATTCTCCCACCTCAACCTCCCAAAGTGCTGTGATTATAAGCATGAGCCACCATGCCTAGCTAAAATTTTAATAATGACTGTATTTTTCTTTTCTTTTCTTTTTTTTTTTTTTTGAGACAGAGTCTTGCTCTGTCGCCCAGGCTGGAGTGCAGTGGTGCGATCTCGGCTCACTGCAAGCTCCACCTCCCGGGTTCACACTATTCTCCTGCCTCAGCCTCCTGAGTAGCTGGGACTATAGGCGCCCGCCACCACTCCTGGCTAATTTTTTTTGGTATTTTTAGTAGAGACGGGGTTTCACCATGTTAGCCAGGATGGTCTTGATCTCCTGACCTCATGATCTACCTGCCTCGGCATCCCAAAGTGCTGGGATTACAGGCTTGAGCCACCGCACCTGGCCAATAATGACTGTATTTAATAGTGGCTCACAATTTATACAAACATAACAATCCGCTTTCACGAGCCCACATAAGCTGGCTCTAGCACACCACTGGTTGTGTGTCACAGTGTAAAGTGTTTTCTTAGTGAAGGTTGTGGTCTAAAACAAGTTTAACGAACACGCTCTAAAAATCTACCAGTGCAGTTGCTGACACACTCAGTGGCCAGTTGGCTTGGCATTGAACTTCATAGAGTTGTCTACCTATTAGAGGAAGTAAATTAGGTTATTTCCTGCGTATGCTTTGGCATTTGATTCCTTAATACCTAAAATCAGATGTTTCCCTTTGTCTTGTTTTTAGGTCAGGAAAACTTTACCCAAACATTCCAGATCAGACTCTCTTTTAGGGCTTGTTTCCATGATCATTTTAAATCTAGAGGGAACCACTGAGAATTCCATAAGTTTGAATGTCAAGGGGACCCTTTGCTCTGCTTGCCAATCCTATTACATTTATTCTTCTCATTCTCTCTGAAATGACCAATACTACCTTCTCCACTTGTCTCAACCATCCTCCCCAATCCTCACAACTCAGAGGTATCAGATATTACCATGGTTAATATTTTGGTATAGCTTTCTAGCTTTTTCTATCTGGGTATGTAGACTTTGCCTTCCAGCTTTATTGAGGTATGACTGACAAGTAAATATTGAATTTATTTAAGGTGTACAATGTAATGTTTTGATATACATATATGCTGTGAAATGATTACCCCAATCAAGCTAATTCACATATCCATTACTGATATGGTTTGGGTGTATGTCCTCTCCAAATCACATGTGTTTCTGTTTGTTTGTTTGTTTGAGACAGAGTCTTGCTCTCTCGCCCAGGCTGGAGTGTAGTGGCATAATCTTGTCACTGCAAACTCCGCCTCCCAGGTTCAAGTGATTCTCCTGTCTCAGCCTTCGGAGTAGCTGGGATTACAGGCACCTGCCACAACACCTGGGTAATTTTTGTATTTTTAGTAGCTATGGCATTTCACTGTGTTGGCCAAGCTGGTCTGAAACTCCTAACCTCAAGTGATCCACCCGTCTCGGCCTCCCAAAGTTCTGGGATTACAGGTGTGAGCCACCACGCTTGGCCCAAACCTCATGTTGAAGTGTGAGCCCCAGTGTTGGAGGTAGGGCCTGGTGGGAGGTGTTTGGGTCATGGGGGCAGATCCCTCTT